GCTCCGCGGCATGTGGGATCCTCCCAGACCAGGGCACGAACCCGTGTCCCCTGCATTGGCAGGCGGACTCCCAGCCACTTCGCCACCAGGGAAGCCTCTCTACTTCTTTGTTTCTAATACCTTTTATTAAGCTCTGAGGAAGCATTTCAGCTGCTCTTAGCTGCTTAACTGGGGTGTGCAAGTTATCTCTGGAGGTCCCAATCATTGGTTTTCTTAGTGCTGTGATTACAGAGTTACAGGGGCATTGGCTGATCTGCCCCAATGTACCCCTCTCTACCCTTCTGGACCCATTTTTTCCCCCATAAGCCTTGTTATTTTTAGGGTTGCAGAGTGCAAAGTTTCCAGGAATGTACGTATGTATTTACATTATACCAGATGTACTAAGAGACTTCAAGAAAATGCTGGAGCTTAGTGTAGTGAGGCTTTACAGCATTGTTTCTGTTCTTGAAGGACTTTATAAAAAGAGCCCCTATAATTCTCCTGTAATAAAAATCCAGTGTTTGGGATTTGAGCCTTCCTATTCATCATTTTTAAATGCAGGGGAATAATAAACAGTAAAAATTTGAGGAATTATGTTGTGGATCACTGAGGCTTTATTTTGTGCTAATGAGATTGTTTTGATGAACCTACCTAAAATTAGAGAAACTGGTGAGTAAATGTAAAATTCTGTATTGGATGATACTTACAGTATTATCTTTTTTCTATTTTGATCCTGGTAGGGAATTGTAATTTGGGCCATTTACAATACCAAGGTTTGTTTCAGAAATAATAATATTCAACTTACAGAAAATGCATAGTAGTATACTGTATTATTACTTATTGTGGAAAAATCTAATCCTTATCAAAAGATTTTGGGTACTTTCATTAAAACAGCAAGGAATTATAGGCCAGTATTACAGTAATGGAAGAAGATTGCTCATGTGATGGATGACTCTAGAAAAATTGTACAGATGAGGAAGATGGATGTATAAATGGAGAAAAATCAGGTTATTGCATGGAGTATAATTTTTTTTTTTTTTTTTTTTCCTTGCGTTATGCGGGCCTCTCACTGTTGTGGCCTCTCCCATTTGCGGAGCACAGGCTCCGGACGCGCAGGCTCAGTGGCCATGGCTCATTTCAGTATAACATGGGTGGGTTTTGGTTTATACGTGATTTTTTCTAAACTGGACAGGGGGATCCTGAATAATGGGGGTAGAATTTTATACTGCTCACAGTTTTTAATTAAAAGTGGTAAGCTGTGTCAGGGGTTCCCTCTCAGAGGTACACCCTGGTCTAGCAGGGACTCTTCTTTTCATATGGCAGTTTGCATTTCCTTTTGTGTCCATTTTAGCAGTCTTCCTGGCTTAAAGCTCCACTTCTCAGCTCCCATAAACCCTTGTTTCTACTTCTTTTTTTTTTTTGAGGTACGCAGGCCTTCCAACGCTGCGGCCTCTCCCGCTGCGGGGCACAGGCCCTGTACGCGCAGGCCCAGCGGCCATGCCTCACGGGCCCAGCCGCTCCGCGGCATGTGGGATCCTCCCAGACCAGGGCACGAACCCGTGTCCCCTGCATTGGCAGGCGGACTCCCAGCCACTTCGCCACCAGGGAAGCCTCTCTACTTCTTTGTTTCTAATACCTTTTATTAAGCTCTGAGGAAGCATTTCAGCTGCTCTTAGCTGCTTAACTGGGGTGTGCAAGTTATCTCTGGAGGTCCCAATCATTGGTTTTCTTAGTGCTGTGATTACAGAGTTACAGGGGCATTGGCTGATCTGCCCCAATGTACCCCTCTCTACCCTTCTGGACCCATTTTTTCCCCCATAAGCCTTGTTATTTTTAGGGTTGCAGAGTGCAAAGTTTCCAGGAATGTACGTATGTATTTACATTATACCAGATGTACTAAGAGACTTCAAGAAAATGCTGGAGCTTAGTGTAGTGAGGCTTTACAGCATTGTTTCTGTTCTTGAAGGACTTTATAAAAAGAGCCCCTATAATTCTCCTGTAATAAAAATCCAGTGTTTGGGATTTGAGCCTTCCTATTCATCATTTTTAAATGCAGGGGAATAATAAACAGTAAAAATTTGAGGAATTATGTTGTGGATCACTGAGGCTTTATTTTGTGCTAATGAGATTGTTTTGATGAACCTACCTAAAATTAGAGAAACTGGTGAGTAAATGTAAAATTCTGTATTGGATGATACTTACAGTATTATCTTTTTTCTATTTTGATCCTGGTAGGGAATTGTAATTTGGGCCATTTACAATACCAAGGTTTGTTTCAGAAATAATAATATTCAACTTACAGAAAATGCATAGTAGTATACTGTATTATTACTTATTGTGGAAAAATCTAATCCTTATCAAAAGATTTTGGGTACTTTCATTAAAACAGCAAGGAATTATAGGCCAGTATTACAGTAATGGAAGAAGATTGCTCATGTGATGGATGACTCTAGAAAAATTGTACAGATGAGGAAGATGGATGTATAAATGGAGAAAAATCAGGTTATTGCATGGAGTATAATTTTTTTTTTTTTTTTTTTCCTTGCGTTATGCGGGCCTCTCACTGTTGTGGCCTCTCCCATTTGCGGAGCACAGGCTCCGGACGCGCAGGCTCAGTGGCCATGGCTCACGGGCCCAGCCGCTCCGCGGCATGTGGGATCTTCCCGAAACGGGGCACGAACCCGCGTCTCCTGCATCGGCAGGCGGACTCTCAAGCACTGCGCCACCAGGGAAGCCCTGGAGTATAATATTTTAGTTAAGTCCTGATAAACCCATTGTAAGTTGAAAATGTTGTAAGCTGAAAATGCACTTAAGACACTTAACCTACTGGATGGACATCATAGCTTAGCCCAGCCTACCTTAAACATGCTCAGAACACTTACATTAGCTTACAGTTGGGCAAAATCACAAGTGTTGAATGTCTTATGTAATTGATTGAATACTGAAAGCGAAAAACAATAGTTGCATGGATACAGAATGGTTATGTGTGTCAGTTATTTACCCTCATGATCAAGTGGCTGACTTTGAGCTGTGGCTCACTGTGGCTCACTGCTGCCGCTGCCCAGCGTCACAAGAGAGTATAGTACCTGCAAATGGCTAGCCCGAGAAAAGACCAAAATTAAAAATTCTAAGTACAGTTTCTACTGAATACGTATTGCTTTCACATCACTGTAAAGTCAAAAAATCTTTAAGTCAAACTATGATAAGTCTATATTGCAAAAATAGTGTAAACTGGTCATGTGGATTTGCCCCATATAAGGAAATGAATAGAGAGCTTTGTTAAGGAGTAGACTCCTTAGTGTTAATTTGGACATTTTGAGAATTGACAGGTGTGTGGCAGTGGCAGGCCCTATTAATTTTGTGTCATTTTTGGGACTATGTGATAATGCCAGCAAATTCCAGTGGGGTTCGCTCAAGGAAATGACCCCTGTTCTTTTGAGTAATTCTAAAAGTAAGGAAAATTGCTGGAAACTTAGACCACATTGTGAGATGCATGAAAATTTAATGGACCCTGGGGAAAGAATCTGAATTGTGACGATGCTGTAATTATATTTGTGTATTGTAATAATGTTAATAAATACTCTACGACTGTCAGATTTTTTCTGTGTTTTCTTCTACTGTTAGGTATTAATTCTGTTTGTTTCTCCTGGATATGAAAAAAGAGGAGAAAGCATATTACAACATATTTTATCTTTTTAAAAATCTGGGCTTCCCTGGTGGTGCAGTGGTTGAGAGTCCGCCTGCCGATGCAGGGGACACAGGTTCGTGCCCCGGTCCGGGAGGATCATATGTGCCGCGGAGCAGCTGCGCCTGTGGGCCATGGCCGCTGGGCCTGCGCGTCCGGAGCCTGTGCTCCGCAGCGGGAGAGGCCACAGCAGTGAGAGGCCTGCGTACCGCAAAAAAGAAAAAAAAAATCTGAGCATAGTTGACATACAACATTATATTAGTTTCAGATATATAGCATGATTCAATTTGTTTTTTGGTTGCGCCACACGGTATGTGGAATCTTAGCTCCCCAACAGGGGATTGAACCTGTGCCCCTGCAGTGGAAACGTGGAATCTTAACCACTGGACCACTGGGGAAGTCTGATTCAGTATTTTTACATATTGCAAAATGATTACCACAATAAGTCTAGTTAAAATCTGTCAGCATACGTAGTTACAGAATTCTTTTCTCTGATAACTTTTAAGATTTACTCTCACAGCAATTTTCATATATGCAATACAGTATTATTAACTGTAGTCACCATGCTGTACGTTATATCACTGTGACTTACTTATTTTATAACCTTTTGTACCTTTTGACGCCTATCACCCATTTCACTCATCCCCACCTCCCTGCCTCTGGCAACCACCAGTCTGTTCTCTGTATCTGTGAACTTGCTGTTTTTGTTTTTTGTTTGTTTTTCTTTTTTAATTCCACATGTAAGTGAGATCATGTGGTATTTGTCTTTCTCTGTCTGACTTTTTTCACTTAGTGTAATGCCCTTTAGGTTCATCCATGTTGTTGCAAGTGGCAAGAGTTGATTCTTTTTATGGCTGAATATTCCATTGTTTATATATGTGTGGTGTGTGTGTAAGAATAGCAATAAAACATTACTTAAGGGAAATTTCCTGCACATCCTAAAATATATATATATATATATATATATATATATATATATATATATATATATATATATATATATATATATTCACTGCATTATTTACAGTAGCCAAGATATGGAAACAACCATATCTAAGTGTCCATCAATTGATAATGGATAAAATTGGCTATTGTAAATAATGCAGTGAACATGGGGGTACATGTCATATTTTATCATTTTAAAAGTGTAACCTGTAGGGAATTCCCTGGCAGTTCAGTGGTTAGGACTCGGTGCTTTCACTGCCATGGGTCCGGGTTCAGTCCCTGGTCGGGGAACTAAGATCTCACAAGCTGCGTGGTGTGGAAAAAAAACAAAAGTAACCTGTAAAGCAGAATGACTCTGTTCAATGCATGTTTTTCCCTCTTATATCTTAAGGAAGAGAGAGAAAATCCTTCAAAACGGAGTAGAATTGAACGTGATATAGATAATAATTTGATCACATCAACACCAAGAGCAGGAGAAAAGCCTAACAAACAGATATCTCGAGTAAGACGGAAAAGTCAAGTAAATGGAGGTTTGTTAATGTTTACATATTGCTTTATTAGGTGTAAGCAGAGTTCTCACTTGACCTGTTTGTGTTCTGTTTTAAAAAATCTACTTTGAGCAATTTCTGCCTTATTTTTGTAATCTCCTTTGTATTAAATACTGGTGGCACGAAGTAAATAAAAATTTACTTTCCTAATGTAAATCTACTTTGATGAATTAAAGTGACAAAGGCAGAGCAACTAGCTTTATACTGTTTAGCATGAAAATGTATATGAAACTCATTTCTTAAAGCGGTAATAATTGTGACTTAATTTATTTGAAATATGTATAAAGAGTTTGTTTCTGGATTATGGAATTTCAGAGCTATAGAGGGGGCTTGGAGCTCTCAGGTCCGTGGTTCTCAACTAGGGGTGTTTCTGTCCCCTAGCAGACGCTTTTCAGTGTATGGAGACCTTTTTGGTTTGTCACAACCTGTGGAGGGATTGCTACTTGCATCTAGCAGGTGAAGGTCAGGGGCACTGCTAAACATCCTACAATGCACAGGACATCCTCCCATAACAAAGAATTATCCAGCCCAAAAGCCAATAGTGTTGTTGCTATTTATAAATCCTGTTCTAGATCAGTACCTTATTGTATTGCTGACAAGCTCCTCCAAGTCAAAAAGGAGAAAAAAAAGATGGACAAGCAGAGAAACCTATACAGAATAGCACTTTAGAGCATGGAGTGCTACCTTTTAACCAATACTATTTTAAACACAGCAGTGATAATAATTCCCTACCTCTTTCCTCTTAATGCAGTGATGTATCTCCATTGTTAGAATTGACCATAAGGGAGAAAAGGGATAAACAAGTTAAAAGAGCTCTAACAAAGAAGGAAAGAAATGTGCTAAAGTTGTGGAGGGTCAAGGATGATTTATTAAGACATTTGTATTTTATATTTTCCCAAAACCCATTAAAATTTTTTTATTTATAAGAAACTTAAAAAAAAACCCCAAACTGGTTATTCTTCCTAACTACTCTGAAATGGTGCCTCACAATATCCATAAGTAGTTTTTGACACTGCTGTATATATATATAGTCTTCTGCTTCACTAGAACTAGTTGCCTCTATATATTTAGCTGTTACTCATTAGAAATAGATTGGGGGGTAAGTTTTGTGAAGTAGGCAGCATCCCAGAATGTAAATAAACAAAGACAAAATCTTGCATTTGTGTTTTTCATATTGTAACTTGCTTGCTTTACTTACAAAGAGTTTTATTTCATTTTCTGTTACACTGTGTTGATTTGAAGACTTTCAGTCTGTGTAATTCCAGATATAAATCTACTTTGTAAAAACTCAGTAAATTTTAGCATTTATAAACCATTATAAATAAATTTGTTATAAAGATCGTTTGATTTACAAGTGATTTACCTCAGGATTTCTTGAAATAATAAGCTTTTTAACATTAATGTTCATCAGTTTTCCTTATGTATTTTGAGGGAAAAAGTTATTTTTATAATGAATGGTTTAGAACACATTTATGAAAGTCATGTTTTCTAGATTGCAACTATTTTTGTTGTTTCTTTCTTAGAAGCTGGTAGTTATGAAATGACAAATCAACATGTAAAACAAAATGGAAAATTAGAAGATAATCCTTCCTCTGGCAGTCCTCCAAGGACTACATTGTTGGGGACCATATTTTCTCCTGTCTTCAACTTTTTTTCACCAGCAAATAAAAATGGTAAATATAAGTCATTAACCATAATTTGGGTTTAAAAGATTAATCGTTTTCCTGGCTTTTTAAAAGATATGTTTGATTTTTTTGGCATATTTTTGTTAGCATCTTATGTTTGTTTTCAGCCTCGTTAAAAATACATAGACTTTTTTTTTTTAAGAATATATTTTCTTTCTTTTAAATTTATTTATTTATTTATGGCTGCATTGTGTCTTAGTTGCGGCACACGGGATCTTTCGTTGCGGTGTGTGGGCTCCTCATTGCGGCACGTGGGCTTCTCTCCAGTTGTGACATGTGGGCTCTGTAGTTGTAGTACATGGGCTTAGTTGCCTTGCGGCAGGTGGGATCTTATTAGTTCCCCGACCAGAGATTGAACCCAAGTCCCCTGCATTGGAAGGTGGATTCTTAACCACTGGACCACCAGGGAAGTCCCCAAAATACACAGCTTCTAAAAGGCATTTTTTTTTTTTTGTGACTGAAATAAATGTAGGTTATGTTTAATTAACTATCTGAAAAGCTAGATGATAAACTTTGGGCTGGAGGGAAAGTATTATTTTTTCTGCGTTGGGATGACTTCTGCATCTTTAAGAGTGTGTACAGGAGAGAATTGAGAAGCATTTTCAATATTCTAGATTAGTAAAGTAGAATTTGTTGAATATTTTGAGTGAGTTGAAACCAGATTTTTTTTTGGTAATACAATTTATTTTTATTATCATTTGCTTGTTTTTTTCCCCCTGTAGGGAATCTTCAGTTTAGACAAATAGTAAAAGTACCCTAATTCACATGAATTGAAGGTTCCCGTTGTATGCCTTTGCAAAAAAATTAAAAATGGCCTCTTTCTCAACATATCTTTTTAAAATTAGCTGGTGTCCTATTTTTTCTGATAATTAATGTCTAATTTCATACATGATAATTTCGTCTCTAGATTATTTGAGGGCAAGAGGTCATGTCTTTATTTTTACATCTACCATGTTGTTTGATACAGTATTGGGCACATGGGAAATAGCCATTAAATACCTGTTGCCTGATTTCTGGATGATAAAGCAATTTTTAAAAGGCAGAATGGTGCACTGTAAAATCAAGATGATGGAAGGGCAGAAATAATGTATATTAGCACATTAAAGGACTGTGAAGTCCTAGAATAGAAACGAAAAACTACCTTTAACTTTGTTTAACCCAGTATTCCCTAGACATATCTGACCAAGTACTCTTCTATGGAACATCTGTTAACATCTTAACATCTTTTAGAACTAGTGCCTCCTAAAACATCTTTGGAAATGCTGGTGTAGTGGGAAAAGAACAGGCTTTGGAGTTAGATAAACTTGTTTTAAATTTGTTCCCAGCTGCCACTGTTTACTTATGTTACGCTGGACCAGTTCTTTAAACTCTTGAGCCTCTTAATCCATGAGAAAGGGTAATTATACTTAAGTGTGAGGAGTGAAGATTCCAGTTCACTCAACAAATATTGAGCATCTACTATGTTCCAGCCATTGTGATAAGTATAATAAATTTTTATAGGTGCCTTGAGAGAGGTATGGAACAGTAGAGTATTCAAAGAATGGAATGGTCCTGTATTCTGGGTGGTGGCTCACAAAAGGCTTCATAGAAAAGCTGAATCTTAAAAGATGGTAAAGGGCATTCCATGTAGAAGGAACAGTATAAGCAAAGGTACAGTGTATTTCAGAAACAAATTAGTTTGTCACAGATGGAGCATCAGATTTGAGGAGTGCATGGGAAGGGATAAGATAGGAGAATTATAAAGAAGTCAGATTATAGAGCCAATTTTGTAGGGTTTTTGAACTTTATCCTTAGTCATGGGGGGATGAATGAAAGGTTTTAAACTGTGAGTAATATGAACAGATTTATGTTGTTTTTTTTTAAGTTTACAGATTTTATTTTTTTTTAATTTACTTTATTTGTTTTTGGCTGTGTTGGATCTTCGTTGCTGTGTGTGGGCTTTCTCTAGTTGCGGCGAGTGGGGGCTACTGTTTGTTGCAGTGTGCGGGCTTCTCATTGCGGTGGCTTCTTTTGTTGCGGAGCCTGGGCTCTAGGCGTGTGGGCTTCAGTAGTTGTGGCTCGCAGGCTCTAGAGTGCAGGCTCAGTATTTGTGGTGCACAGGCTTAGTTGCTCTGTGTCATGTGGGAGCTTCCCGGACCAGGGCTCGAACCCATGTCTCCTGCATTGGCAGGTGGATTCTTAACCACTGTGCCACCAGGGAAGCCCAGATTTGTGTTTTCTAAAGATCTATTTGGCAGTAGCATGTAGGCTAAATTCTAAAGAGGCTGGATGCAGGGAGAACATTAGTAGACTTGTAGTCCATGTGAGACTTCATACAAACTTACTTGTAGTATTAGAGAAGAAAAGAAAGATCAAAGATACAAATGGACAAATTTTGGGAACAGATTGGAGGTGAAGGAAGAGAGAGAGTAAGATGTACACATTAGATTTTCAAGAGAGAAAAGTAAGTTCCTGGGAGATCGATAATTGAATTTAATTTGGGCCATGCTGAGCCTGAGAGGCCTTGAAACAACCAAATAAAAATGTCTGCTAACAATTTGTCATTCAGGTATGGGGCTTAGAAATCTGAATAAGCAGTAGAGCATGGTATTATCAGCTTACAAATATTAATTGAAACCAGTGGAGTAAATGGTCCATTTGGTTCATCAAACTAAGACCAGAATCTTGGGGAAAGATATTTAAGGACTGGACAAAGCTAAAGTAGCCAACAAAGGAGAAATGGAGGAAACCAGGAGAAACTGAGTCATAGAAGCCAAAAGAAGAGACTGTCAAACCCAGGGTCAAACTATTGTAAAGATAGAAGGAAAGGAAATGAGCATTGAAACGGTATCATTAAATCTGGTAATTAACTGGTCATTGGTTTCGTTTGCCAGAAGAGTTTCAGAGGAGTGATTGGAGTTGGCAGCCTAATCCATGGGTTAAAAGAGTGAAATGGAGAGTAAGAAAAGGATCAGCACATATAGATTACTGTTATGAGGAACTTGAATATGAGAAAAACTAGAGAGGTCATGAAGCCTCAAGGGATGTTTTGTATTTGTGAGAAGCAAGCATGTTAAGCCTCAGGGAAGGGTCTAATAGGTTGAACATAAGGGAAAAAGAAAAACTAATGAAGAAAGTTTCTAGGATCTACTGATAGGGATGGGATCAAGAGAACAGGTAGAAGGATTAGAATTGAAACAAGGAGAATAGACATTTTTCTCTGATGCTGGAGGAAAGAACGTTTGGGCAGCAGTAGTTCATGTTTGATAGAATTTTTTTCTTTGAAGGAGGACATGGTATCATTTTGCTGAGATTGTCCTGGTGGCAGGGATTGAAGAGAATGAAGGTTTAGAATGTTTGCTATTGGGTATAAGTAAAAGAAGCTGAATGACTCACACACAGAAATACTGAGCAGCATGCTATAGGCGTAGCTAAGATTAGAGGATTTTATTTGGAGTACAACCAGTCTTTATAATTGTATTGTTTTCTTTATTACCTGAGTCTAGTGCCTGAGAAGCCTGTTAGATTGATTCAAGAGGGATTTCTATGATGAATGACAGTGGAAAGACAAGGAAGCGAGGACAGTGAGGCTGCTGGCTTGAGAGTGGTTTAAATAATACACCATGAAGTCTAACTAGATGAGGAGGGTGGAGAAGAAGCCATTGAGGGATGTGTTTGGATAAAAGAGATTGGCTTTTATCAAACGTGAAGATCACATGTAATAGAAATATTAGATAGATAGATAGATAATTAGAAGATTAGGAGGTCGTGGTAGGAGATTAATTATTTGAATTTTAGGTTTCAGAGGTGAACAGTTTCTCTGTGATAGTGTCCAGGTTGTAGCCATGGTAATAACTACTAAGGAGCATTATGAATGTAGATGGAGCTAAAGAGGGCAAGACCTTTGAGGGTTAGTTATTGGATGAGTCATTGACATCACCTGTAATAACTATATAGGCATTTAATAGAGCAGTAAACTGGTATCTAGGTGTTAAATTCCTTTGAGATTGAGAGAGGATGCTGGCAATAGATGGTAGGTGACAGCAGAGGGCATAAGTGAAGAATTGTATAGCCAGGTGACAGCAATCTCAAAGGAGCAAACATTTTTACACATTAGTGGAAAACCAATGATCTGGTGGCGGCAGTGGAGGTAAACGAATTCTGATTGAGTAACAAGTATGGGAGAATAAACAGCTTTGAGGGAAGGGTATCAGGAAAAGAGATGTCTTTTGGAAAGAGGTTAAATGTAAGGCAATGAGGGAGAAAGAATATTCTGTGAGGAAGTTGAGAGTTACTGGCGGTTGATTTTGTTGTTGACTATGACATTCGGAGAATTTCATAAAGAAATGGAGACTTGGGGTCAGTCCATAATGGAAGAAAAATTGGGCAGTGGGTTCATCTAGGGGATGGTTGAATATAATGAGGAAACTAGCTTCTGTCTTTGTTATTGAGATGGAATTTCGTTGAGAAATTGTTCTTGTGTCTTTGAATAAAAAGGTTCTCATGGTTAGGGGAAGAGTTAGCTCATTTTTAGAGAACTGTCGCTGGTTTAAAAATTACAACTGCACAAAATGGCTAGGATGCTTAGTACTAGAAAGATCAGGAGCTGTTTGAGGTTAATGGAAAATTGTGTGTGTGTGTGTGTGTGTGTGTGTGTGTGTTGTGTGTATTGCCCAGCACATAGTAAGCACTTAATAAATGATATTTGCTTTAATGAAGAGAAGTTCTGTGGTCAAAAATACTGTATGACAGTTGACCCAACAACAACATGGGTTTGAACTGCACAGATCCACTTAATACAAGGATTTTTTTCAGTAAATACTATAGTATACAATCTGTGGTTGGTTGAATCTGAGGATGTGGAACTGTGGATATGGAGGGCTGACTGTAAAGTTATTCTCAGATTTCTGACTGCATGGGGGTCAGTGCCCGTAAGCCCTATGTTGTTCAAGGGTCAACTGTATATACTTCAGAGTTCCTAAGAGACTGGATCTTAAATGTTCTCACCACAAAAAAGAAATAATTATGTAGCAGGATAGAGGTGTTAGCTAACACTCAGTTGGTAATCATATTGCAGTATATAAAGTATTAAATCAATACGTACACCTGTAACTTACACAATGTTATGTTAATTATATCTCAATAAAAATTTTTTTAAGTTCTAAATTGACTTGTTTGAGTATAAATGGGTGTTTCTAAGCTATTTTAACACTCTTAAGAAAAACTTTGCTCACAAATATTACTCTAGCTTACAATAGTCTTTTTTTTTTTTTTTTTTGCGGTACGCGGGCCTCTCACTGTTGTGGCCTCTCCCGTTGCAGAGCACAGGCTCTGGACGCGCAGGCTCAGTGGCCATGGCTCACGGGCCCAGCCACTCCGCGGCATGTGGGATCTTCCCGGACCGGGGCACGAACCCGTGTCCCCTGCATCGGCAGGCCGACTCTCAACCACTGTGCCACCAGGGAAGCCCGAGCTTACAATAGTCTTTATTCCTTATTTTTGAAATGTCTAGTAAAGAGTCACTAAATATGGTATCCTCAGCTTTGTTTCTGTTCCATTTAGTTTTTCTAAATATTTATGAATTTTTATTGAATATATTTGACATATAACATTGTATAAATTTAAAGTGTACAACATGTTGATTTGATAATTTATATATTGTAATTTGATCATCATCGTAGTGATAATTAGCACGTGCTCTCATGTTATATAATTATTCTTTCTTTTTAGTGGTTGGAGTAATTAAGTACTAGTCTCTTAGCAGGTTTGATGATTATAATACAATGTTGTCTGTATTCACTGTACTGTGCATTAGATCTCTAAGGCTTATTTATTACTTGTTTTAAGTTTGTTCCCATCTTTCGCCACCCAATATGAGCTTTTAAGTGACGATTAATGTACAATTAATCATGATTTCAGGAACATCAGGATCCGATTCCCCAGGACAGGCTGTGGAAGCTGAAGAGATAGTAAAACAGCTTGATATGGAACAGGTGGATGAAATCAGTACCAGTACTACTACATCAACTAATGGAGCAGCTTACTCAAATCAAGCAGTTCAAGTGAGGTCATCAATAAATAATGGTTTAGAAGAAGCAGAAGAAACAGTTAATCGTGATATCCCACCCCTTACAGGTAAATAAGATTCCTTTTTTTCTTAAACATTTTCATGAATAGTTTGTAAAAATACTACTGTATTTTTTCTTAAATAGGGAGATTAAATGCGTAAGTTTTTCTTCCTTGAAGTTAATAAAATTAAAACTGGAAATAAAACTTTTCCCCCCAAATCCAGTCATTTTGAAATTGAATTTTTTTTAAGGTTATTTTGACTGCATATTAGTCATTTTACAGTTTAATTATGTGTACCGGTCTTACCACTTAGAGAAATTTAACACAGCTAACAAAATAATATGCTTACATTTATGAACATATTTATTATAATTGCACGAGTCTTAGATCCTTAAAGTCTGAAGTCCCTACATAGAGGTAGTCTCATACCTTCAGATTTGTTTCATATACAGATGACATTCCCAAAGAAGAAGCCTCTGTTCTTGGGTCTCTCCTGTACACAAACTTTGCAGCCTAATCCTGGATGCTTTTAAAGGCCTAACATAATTGTTAGGTCCCTGAGGCAGTTGTTATGGAAATGTAGAAACATGTGAGGTCAGCATTTGTTACTTCTGAGGGTTGTGGTAGATAGACATATAAGGCTAAAAGATGAAATTGTATTCCATTATGATTAAAAGCAGAAATAAAACTGAGGATGGACATCTTTTCCCAGAAGGAGAAGATCTTAGACTTTTATTGTAGATTTGTTTGGTTTTCCTTGTGGTGCCAGATATTTGAGAGAGCCTATTACATATATATTGGTTGAGAAATAAGTTTGGCATAGGAAGCAAAATGATGATCTCTCTGATATAAAGGGGAAACTTGAAAAAAATCATTGAAACAGCATGATACATTTAAAGAAAAATGCATACAATTATGAAGCTTCTATACAGTGCAACCCTGTATCAGTATGAAGAGAAAAACAACATAATAGAGTTAAGGTTTATTTTATTTTATTTATTTTTGGCTGTATTGGGTCTTCATTGCTGAGCGCGGGCTTTCTCTAGTTGCAGTGAGTGGGGGCTACTCTTCGTTGCGGTGCACAGGCTTCTCATTGCGGTGGCTTCTCTTGTTGCGGAGCACGGGACCTAGAGTGTGCAGGCTTCAGTAGTTGCGGCGCGTGGGCTCTAGGGCACGTGGGCTTCAGCATTTGTGTCACGTGGGCTCAGTAGTTGTGGCGCATGGGCTTAGTTACTCCGAGGCATGTGGGATCTTCCCAGACCAGGTCTCGAACCCATGTCGCCTGCATTGGCAGGCAGATTCTTAACCACTGTGCCACCAGGGAAGTCCAAGGTTTATTTTAAATTTGTCAAATAAGGAATTCCCTGGCCATCCAGTGGTTAGGACTCTGTGCTCTCACTGCCGAGGGCCCGGGTTCAGTCCCTGGTCAGGGAACTGTTGGGTTGGCCAGAAAGTTTGTTTGGGTTTTTCTGTAAGATCTTGAGGGGAAAAGCCCGAACAAACATTTTGGCCAACCCACTAAAATCCCACAAGCCGTGTGGTGCGGCACTCAATCAATCAATAACAAATAAAATACTAATATTGATAATGTTTAATTATAATGTTATAATTTAAGAATAATACTGAACCTAACAAGCAAATCTAATGCTGATTACTTTGCCTGTTGTTAACAGGCTAGTGAATGATAAGGTATAGCACAGGCTTCAGACGTGCAGGCTCAGCAGCCATGGCTCATGGGCCCAGCCGCTCTGCGGCATGTGGGATCTTCCCACACCGGGGCATGAACCCGTGTCCCCTGCATCGGCAGGTGGACTCTCAACCACTGAGCCACCGGGGAAGCCCCAAAGCCAGGGCTTTTGACTTCTTTGATGTTTTTTCTGTTTTTGTGCTTGTATATAACCTTTGTACTCATTTTTTCTGACAACTGTGCCTACCGGGAAGGGATTTCTATAACTTTAGTTTCTAGAGGGGAATAGTAAGATTTACTCCATTTGTCTCATTCATTCGTTTTTCTAACATTTAATTGAACAACTACTTTTTGTAATGGGCACTATTTATAAAGATGACTAAGATGTGCTCATTGATCCTAAAGAGTATATGATCTAATTGATGAGCCAAGTATACACAAAAATTACTGTACAGTGTGGTGAGTGCTGTTACAAATAAATGAGCAAAATATTGAGGTGGCACATTGCAGTTACTCTGGGAGGATCATGAAAGGAAGAAGTAAAAGTTTTGCTGATCTTAAAATATGAGTATGAGTGACAAAAGTGGTACTTTTCCCCAACTTCAAGAATGTAGCCAAAGAGAACAAGAAGGAAGGAGTCTGGCTGTACCATTTACTTAGCTGTGTGACTTTAGATAACTTATTTAAGCTCTCTGAGACAGTTTTCTTAGCTTTAAAATGGTAATAATAATTTAGAGCTTTGAAGGCTAAATGAGATGAAATATGAAAAATGCTTAGCGTGGAGGTGCTCGAATACTAATTACTTCCTGTCCCCCTTTCTCTGAGATTAATAGGAATTTGAAATAGTAAAGTGGTAGGAAGATATATTTTTCCATTTGTCCCCTTGTGCTAATGAACCGTTACTGGCATAAAGTTATTAGAAATGAACAAAAATTGTGCTTTACATCTGTTGTCATTTATTGAACATACACACTGTATTGGCTCTGTCTCAGAAGGTATTAATACATGGTAATAGCAAAAAACATAAGTTTTTATCCTGAAAGACTACTATCCATCAGTATTCCATTCCTATAGATAGATTACAGCAATTTTTATTGAGGCCCACTGTCTTAGTCCTTTCAGGCTACTGTAAAAAACTACCATTAGACTAGGTGACATATAAACAATAGAAATTTATTTCTCATAGTTCAGGAGTCTAGGAAATCTGAGATCAAAGCCCCAACAGATTCAGTGTCTGGTGAAGATCTGCTCTCTGGTTCATAGATAGCTGTCTTCTTACTGTGTCCTCATATGCCAGAAGCTATGCAAGCTCTTTGGGGGTCTTTTTTTAAGAGCGTTAATCTCATTCATGAGGGCTCCACCCTCATGACCTAATGACCTCATGACCTCCCAAAGACTCCATCTCCAGACACCATCACATTGGGGATTAGGTTTCAATATATGAATTGGGGGGCAACACAAACATTCAGTCTCTAGCATCCACCTTAAACTTTCATCTCCTCTTAAGACATTACCTGTTTAGCTTGTAAGTTATCATTGTCTCATTGAATTTAAGTTGTAAATATTGTCTTAGAAAATTCCCAACATAATTTCTAAAGCTTTATCAATTGATCAAATTTTAATTCAAACTTAGAATGGACTATGTGTCGTGGAATACAGAATTGTTTCTTGATTATTTTTAAGTTGCTTGTAAATGAGAAGTAAAATAATGGGTCTTCTAAAGCACTGATTTCTATATACAGCATAATTTCTTAACTTTTAAGATCATAGACAACCTTGAGAATCCTGTAAAAATGTACATAAAACATTTTTTCATAAGTCTTTAGGGGTTTGTAGACCTTTTAAAGCCCGTTCATGGATCTTAGGTTTAAAACTACCTTCGGGATCTGTTGTCAGCACACATATATTGACTGCCTGTATGTACTGTGCACTTTGTGAAGTATTACTGCTATGAGCACCATGAAATTTTTATGGTTATACATACAAACATCATCCAGTTAGAAATGGAAATTTTGTGGAGTATATTTTCCTAATAATACACTCCACAGTGTAAGTAGTAAATAGTAGGAAATAGTGTAAGTAGTAAATTTTCTCTTAGCTGTTAGGGATTTAAATTTTGCTAGCCATGATATAGCTTGCCACTTTGTCTGTAATGGTAAATTTCTCCTTTGGATCCAGAGTTAGATCTATGTGTTTATAAATTTACTTTTAAATACTGTTTACAAATTATTTCTGTCTTATCTTTAACCTAAAATACACAGGGCTTCAGGAAGATCTTAATAAAAGCAGTAAAAATGTATCCTTCATGGAAGCATTAAGTGAGTAAAAGCAACATTTTGTTTTTCACTTTGTTAAATAGCACCAGTAACTCCAGATAGTGGTTATTCATCAGCCCACGCAGAGGCCACCTATGAAGAAGACTGGGAAGTATTTGACCCGTGAGTTTTTTTTTTTTTCCTTTTCTCTCTTTGAAAGGAATGAAAGTACATGTGTAGAGGGGTGGCTAAATGGTATATTGCAAAGAGCATTTGACCTGTAGGTATTAATACTTTGCTGAGTTACTGAAATACTAATTTGTATATTTTCAGTTTTACTTATATGTTTTATAAGTTTGGTTTACTAGGTTAAATATGCATTATTTAATTAAAAACTTAAAGATGGGCTGAATTTACTAATATGTTTTATATTTACAAAAATAGAAATGTTGAAATTTTCTTAAAATTTGATTTATAGCTATTATTTCATCAAACATGTTCCACCACTGACAGAAGAACAACTAAATAGGAAACCTGCCCTTCCATTGAAGACAAGAAGCACACCAGAATTCTCCCTAGTTTTAGACTTGGTAAGTATATTATCTGTAGAGTTAGGGAAAATAAAGGCGTTAAATTCTTTTTAAAAAATACTAGCACAAAATACCTAAAAGAATACAAGTGAATGAATAGCCTTACACATACATTTACTATAAAAACATGTCTTAGGTGTTCTTGAAATGTTTTTATTTTAAGCACAGTCTAATGCCAGGGCCTCCCCAATTTGTTGGTTTCCAGTACCCTTTGAAAATAAATTAAGCTTTCTTTTTCTTTTTCTCCCCCAACAACCCCCGCTATTTCACTATTTTTCTATTTAAATTAAATTAATTATTGCCCCCATACTCCTATACCCTTTGTTTTGTTTTTTAATCTCCCAATAAATTCTAATTTCATGGCTATATTTCAACCTTTTTGGGGGGTGGGGGAGTCACAGTCATGTTCCCCTGAAGGAACTAGGTCTTAATGAGTTAACCTCATGCAAGACCATATTCCTTTTCTTGTTCCTTTTTGGGGGGGAGGGGCAATCTATGTAATACTTAATACTAAGTATTAGTATTATCTAATACTAATAACTTTATTAATAGACTCTCAAAAGCATGACTTCTTAATGCTGACTAATAAAACCTTTAATATGCTCTCTTGGTGTGAATTTTAAAATTTATATTTTTTTAGGGTACCAGAAGAGCTTTGAAAACTGAATATCTCTTATCTTTTCCTAACCAAACTTAATATATGGTCACCATTATTTACCATCTGCCGGCAATTTCTTGATATTAGCAAAAATATGTATCTATTATATAATACTGGAAAATATTTTACTATTTAAAAGCCTTTGTTACTAGTAACCTATAATTGGAAATGTTTAGTTCTTATTAAAAAAATTTTTTTTATCTTAAGGAAAAGCATATTTTTAAAATCTTAACTAGCATATATAGTTGTTTTGAGAGTTGAGCACCTTAGCCTTTGCCTAGCCAAAGAGATATAAATAAAATAGGCATCCAGAACGCCTAAGTATTTAAGGTGTTTATTAGAGGATACGTAGGCAAAAAAAGAAAAATTTTGAAAATGATTATGAGTAGTTTAGATTTGATGTACAGAAACTGAAAAAGATTTTGCTAGATTTTTATGTTAGCAGTTGATGTCATGATAGCAAGTTTGGCCATATAATTTTTAATCCAATGTGGAGGTAAATAGAGAGGGAAAGATAAGAATTGGTGAGCATAAATGAGTAATTTTACAGAATTGGGTAAAGAAGAATGATCAAAATTTAGATAGGCTGTAGATGAAGAAAGTAGAATTGCTATGATTCAATTATAAGAAAGAGAATACCTTTTTTAAAGATACTAAGGGAATACCTTGAATTGTGTACTCTGATATGCTATTAGAAGAAAATGTGGGTGGACCTAGAGTCTGTCATACAGAGTGAAGTAAATCAGAAAGAGAAAAACAAATACCATACGCTAACACATATATATGGAATCAAAAAAAAAAATGGTTCTGATGAACCTAGTGGCAGGACAGGTATAAAGATGCAGACGTAGAGAATGGACTTGAGGACATGGCGGGGTGGGGAAGCTGGGACGAAGTGAGCTTTGACATATATACACTACCAAATGTAAAATAGATAGCTAGTGGGAAGCAGCTGCATAGCACAGGGAGATCAGCTCGGTGCTTTGTGACCACCTAGAGGGGTGGGATAGGGAGGCTCAAGAGGGAGGGGATATGGGGATATATGTATACATACAGCTGATTCACTTTGTTATACCGCAGAAACTAACACAACATTGTAAAGCAATTATACTACAGTAAGATGTTAAAAAAAAAAAAGAAAAAGAAAATGAGGCATATCTGGAGTATTTTTTGCTCTTTGCCTCCCCAGAGTTTAACTTTAGGTTAAAAGAAACACTCCAGCTAATAAGATGTGGAATCACAAGGTATGAGCATTTGTGTTTCATTTTAATTCATCTTAAACACATTGAAAAATTTGGGGGGTAGTTACTAGCAGCTTTATTTTTTTAAGTGTTGTCACTTTCTACAAATGGAAGCCTTTTATTTTTATCCTTCAGGATTTGAGAAATATACATATTTGCACATACCTTACATTGAATGATCCTTACCTTCTTTTCCTCATGAGAAAACAGGGCTTGGTAATCAAAGATGAGAAAGAAGACTTGATTGACTGCTAATTTAGTTAAACAATGTTTATGTCTATGAAACATATTCAACAGATACTGAAATATCCATTTTCTAAAATAAAATTCTTTATAAAAGGTTTAAGAATAAGGAGCTATATATAAATAGAAGATATATTTTTTTAATAGTTAGATACTAAACTTCCGTTGGCAAATTGTAAAAAAAAAAAAATTAAGAAAGTTTATATGTGGTTTACTTAACAGAAAGTTGGCAACTGCAGGACTCAGAACAGTGGTTGCCAAACATGCGTATGCATCCTAATCACCTAAAAGGCTTATTGAAACATAGATTGCTGAGTTCCTCTCTACTCCTTGCTGAATTTGAATGATAAGAAATGGAGCTGGAGGTTTTGCATTTCTAACTAGTAGTTCCCAGATGATGCTGATGCTGCTTGCTGTTCTAGCAGCCACACGTGAGAACAAGTGACTTAGAAAATTCTATCCCAGATTGCTATGCCACACATAATAATGTATTATAAATATAAAATTCCATGTATGAATGGGTGCTTTAATAAATGTTTTTGGTGATCATGAATACATAAAATTATCAATTGAAATGTCTTAATATCTTGGTTCATTCAATATGTCCTTTTTATTTTAAGGATGAAACACTAGTACACTGTAGTTTAAATGAGCTAGAAGATGCAGCACTTACTTTTCCAGTCCTTTTCCAAGATGTCATTTATCAGGTAATTAAAACTTTTTAACTTGAGTTTTGGCCTGTTAGATATTTTGAACCAAGAAATCTTTTGTAAATTTTTTTTTTTTGGTGAAATTTAATGTGTTTATTCCTAATGGATTTCATCTGTATTTTAATGATTTAGTAACACAAAGTAGCATCATGCTAAATAAATAACTACATAAAACAACATAAATGTTACCCAAAAAAATGTGAACTTTTTTTACCCATTGCTCTCTGCTAGTTTCATAACCTGTTTGCCAGCAGGTGGAGGCAGGAACACTGACATCTTAGGTCCCCGAGAGCTTGCCAGGTTAACACTTGGCGTTGTTGTTGTTTTTCCAAAACCCAATTAATAGGAAGAAACCTTATTCCTTGTTGGTCATTTTTATTGCCTTTTGTAGTAATATGGTGTGTAGGTTGCAGTGTAGTAGATCTACTTTATTTTAATCACAGAATTCCAGGATACTCTTCTAGTTACTGCTTTACTTAAAAAATTAGAGTATAAGTATTTCTTCTTCCTCTGTGTCGACGGACAGGTAACAGTGCAAAATACAAATACCATTTACATTTCACTGCAAATTGTGTGTGTTGACCATAGGTTTTACTTTATGTTTTAGATTTTCCTATCATATAATTTGAATTAATACATGTGAATACACTTCAAAAACTACGAAGTGCCTTTCTGTTCATGGAGGTTGTTATTGAACTAGCATTACCTTCTTATATACCAGTTGTTGAAGGATTGGGAAAGGGTCAAAAACTTTGTTGTTTGTCAGGTGGAAGCCAACCCAAGGATTAACTAAATAAAGTCACAGAACATTTACCATGTGAACAATGAAAAGGTGTTTATGGTTGTTTATGTGCTCTTAATAGGCAGTTAGAATATGTGTATAGTTTTCTTGGCACATGATAGTTATTATAGCTCGGAAATCATAAAATTTTAGAGTTAAATAGTTTGTGGTTCAGGATCTACTTTACCTATGTTATCTTGTAATCAGTCATAAGAGGATTTGAGCAGTTATTGTCAGTTCTGGTTTAACCTAGAAAGGTACTGTAGGTATGGTAATATGTGGGTACTATCAATATATTTATTTCCCTTTTATGTAAACTGATTTTAGTTCTGATATAGATCAGAGGATGAGCAAAATATACATAAAAATGAGGGATTAGGTTTTTGAATTCCTTTTTAACTGTATATTACTAGTTTAACGTAAATCTTTTTCTTAAGACATTTTCTGCCAAATAGGTTGTTCTTATTTAGTGTAATTCAAGGACAGGAGTCTTGTGGCAAATATAAATAGCATGGCAATATGTTCTCTCTTTTTAGCTTGATAACCTTGTTTTTATGTTCAAAATTGCCCTTAAAAACAATGGCTTTCAGGCTTTTGAATTTGGAAAAGAAAACTTACTGAAAACTATAAATAATTATTTTGATGTGATTTCTTAAGCTTCCAGATTTGAAATTTATTTCTGATAGATGGTTTTGGTCTGTTTATATAATTTTTAGTAGTGAAATAAGAAACTTGGAGAGTAGATGAGTTTGATTTCCCTTTCATGAGTGTATTTCTTTTCAGTGTGACCATAAAATTGAATTTTTTTCTTATTGCTTCCACCATTTCTTCTTTAGTTCTCTTCTTTATAAAATTCTTACTGTTTCCTGTGGATCCAGACAGTTGTCTTATTTTGAATAAAAGGCTCCTAGCAGTGCATATGACTAATATAAAAAAAACTTCATATGTACTGCATCTACCTCTGTGGAATTCAAAGAACTCTTTTTCTTATATATCTGAGTTACACTTTCTGAAACAGGAAAATTAAATGAGCTAACCTAAATCAGGAGCAATGAGCAGGAAGTTTGAATCTTAAAAATTATAGAGATGATTGTATTTTAAAATGATTTAGTTACTACATCATGTACAGAGTTTAGTTCCCTTTCAGTAAGTTTTGAGGATGTCCATAGTTAATATTGGATTTCTAGTTTTGGCATAGCCATTCTGTCTGCTTTTTAAAAAATAACTTTGAAGAAATCTTGGGTTAGGGTTCCCCCAGTTTTCAGACCAGCAAGCTCCCTTTAAACAGGGAATGATGTCTTTTAAACTTTCAGTGGTGTTGTCTCCATCTACTGGCAAAGAAGAAATATACACAAGGGTCTGGGATGATCTAAGAGATTTTGGAGAAACTACATTATTAGGTAAGATGTAACTTACATGTTTAACCACTACAGTATAATGTGGCCCACTTAAAGGTAGAAACCTGTAAAATACTGTATATACTCTTAAAAAAATAATTTGTTGAGATGAAATTCACAACATAAAATTAACCATTTTTAAGGGGGAACAGTTTCATGGCATTTATATACTCTTGAATATGTCAATTCCATAACATTTATGTATATACTCTTAAAAATAAAATGGTAATGTTAAGATAGGATCAAATTCTTCATCTGAATCAAAGCTAGATAAAATTTCCTCTTGGGACTTTTGTTACTTTTGCTTTTTGTTTATGGTAAGTTTGTTATAGTAGAACCATATCTAATGTTAATTCTATTTGTTATTCTCTTTCTTTCAAAACAATTTAAAATATAAGTTGTCTTATGTATGTTTTGATAATGGTCTGTATCAGGGGTTGGCAAACTTTTTCCTTTAAAGGGCCAGTTGTTAATATTTTAGGTTTTGCAGTCTGTGTTACAACTACTTTTTCTGCCATTGTAGCATGAAAGTAGTCCTAAACAATGCATAATGAATAAGCATGACTGTCCCATTAAAACTTTATTTACAGAAATAAGTGATGATCTGGATTTGGCCCAAAGGCCATAGTTTGCTGACCCTTGGTCTAATAATTATGAGAGTATATGCAATAAATTTACATATTCAAATTCTAAGTGGAGGTAAGATCAAATGTTCATCAAAATTCTTGTTAATATATAGAGAGATTTAAAATTAGGTCCACTGTAACCTGGTTATGGGCTTTCTTAGGTTTATTCAGATGAAAGTTTGAGGGAAATTTAAGGTGGTCACTACTCACGTTTAAAGATTGCCTTACTTCATGATATACACTCTTCTTTTGATTGATAAGTAGGACTCAACCTAGTTAATGCAAGACTTAGAATATATGAGGATGTAGATTATTCAAGCCTCAATTAGTACCTTGAATGTATTTGAATTTCCATTTCTCTAGGAGATAAACCTAAAAGATCCAACTCAAATTAAAATTTTGATATATGTTACCACTGACACTATACGGATAGACAGATCATAGTTTGTGTATATGGAGAAAAAGTCATTTGAAAGAAGAACTGAGTTTTTAAAGTGAGGATGTGGCATTCACAAAGGCAAAGTATATGGATTTTTGTTTGAATGAGTCTTTTCCTCTCCCTTAATTGGTAGTTTTTCCATGAATTGTTTTACAGTTAGATATTGGGAAACGTATTTATTCATAGAATGGTACAAATGCATTTGATATCTGGAAAAACAAGTGCGTGATCAGTTCCAATGCACATGTTTTAATTTTTATATTTAGCTTATATTGACACATTGTCAGGAAATCCATCTCGTGGTGTTACTCAGTTAAGAGGTCTCCACTGTATTTAGTTTCTGTTCCTGCAGATCCACCAATTCAAGACTCTAGGTCATCTCACTCCCTCTTCCATCCAGAAGATGACTTCTATCCACAAGCAGGACTGAATCAAAAGACAGATTTTTCACTTAGCTCTTGAGCTGAACCACCTCCTCAATGACCTTCCTCTGTCTCCATCAAGAACTGGAGCTCAGTTTTTTGAAGATGTAATAGAGCTACTCAGCCCAAACGTGGCTAATTGAAGACAAAAAGAAGATGCCTCATATGTTTCACTACAGTGCAACCAAACGTAACTGTGTTGTCCAACTCCTCATTCTGTAAAGTATGGCAGGGGCATCTGATTTTTGACTCTGTTCACCAATAAGACTTTAGCCAGTCAGTGGCTTTCTGAAGATCAGTAAAATCAACAAACTTTGGGTCAGCTGTCCAGAAATCAGATTGTGGTAAGCACTCAAGGAGAGATAGGATCCTGTAGGGAGCTACTTGCTAAAGGATGCTTTGTTTTAATAGTAGAGGTTGCCTTTATGGGAAATCTTGGGGGGAGAGGTGGATGGGGAGCCCCATGTTTAGCAAAGCTCAGCCTCTTCCTCATTATTATAGTTTGTTTTCTTGGGAAACTTACAACCTAGGATAATTTTCATAAGGATCTCAAATATTTTATACCACAGAAAAATAGAAGTAGAGGGTCAGTGGCATCTATCTCTTTTCCACAGTCTAGGAAGAAAAGTCAGCATTATTTTTGCTTCATGAAGAAAAAAGCAATCGTTTAAATGAAGAGTTTTGTTAGTAAACACCTAATCAATTTTTTCCTCCCCTCAAGCTCTGACTTAAATTGATGCTAAATAAGAGGCATTTTGTTTTGACATTCATAAAGCATAATTTTATTGTACAAAAGTAGTATGTAGGGCTTCCCTGGTGGCGCAGTGGTTGAGAGTCCGCCTGCCGATGCAGGGGACATGGGTTCGTGCCCCGGTCTGGGAGGATCCCACGTGCCGCGGAGCAGCTGGGCCCATGAGCCATGGCCGCTGAGCCTGCGCGTCAGGAGCCTCTGCTCCGCAGCAGGAGAGGCCACAACGGTGAGAGGCCCGCATACCGCAAAAAAAAAAAAAAAAAGTAGTATGTATTTTGTTCCTTAAAACATCTGGGGTCATGGACACAGTATTGAGGATAAAAGTAATATTTTATATCTGGTAGGGAAGAATATTTTGATAACTAATTGTGAGTCAGTATTTTAAATAATTTTAAAGTAATTTTTCCATCCTTATAGCTAGTCATTGGCACTAATTTTTTCATCATGGTTTGTATTCTTTATAAATATATCTTAAAATTAGAAGAAGTTCATTTAAAAATACAGAAAATTCTTGTTCAGTAACTAAAAATATTCTGCAAATATAGGAGATGTGACAGTTGATTACTAAGCATATTAAATTG